TTGAGCTAACTGATGTTTTTGAATCTCACCTGAACAGTTGCTATTTATCTTCATTTCTATTCTAAAGCATTTGCAAAAGGCCCGAAGAGAAAAACTTGAGCGCTTGAAGCACTCAAATCAGCGCTGAATCTCGTCCTCAATTTCATACTTCGTGATGTGACTAACAGTTTCTTCAAAGGAATTCGTCAGTTATCGCTGCTCATCACGAGAGCGGTTCGGCGGTCAGGTCTCGGACCATAACTTCCATGCCGGGGTTCGACGGGAGCCTGGTTGATCGGAGAACAGCTCAGGTAGATTCAAAAAGCTGACTGGTGCGTTTGCTGCACCCCCGCCCCCTCTCCACCCTTCCCTCTACCGCCAACATGTTCTGTAAGTTATGTTATGGTACAGGCTATGTCACATTCCAAAATGGCACTGCGATTCTGGATAGCAGTGGAACACATGGCGCATCCCAAGGGATTGACCAGAACCGGGAGCATTATCTTTATTCTCTCTTCTCAAAACATATGTTCATCACTAGAAACAGAACTTTGAAGCGATTCCTCAAATTAATGTTTAGTACATTCAACGGCGGATCCAGCTGGACTATATGTCATCATTCGAGGTGATTATTAGTAAAGGCGACTTTGCCACTTCTACATACTACCACGGCTTAAGCACTTGTAAGATACACGATGGAGAATACAATCTTCTTGCATACGAAACACCTGTTCAAGTGAGTTAGTTCTTATCTTACTTTCTTCCCATTGGCATGTATACAATCGTTATCGCTGAAGTCGGGGCGTGTCAGCGACGCGAGGGATTTGGTACGGCGCCAACCCCTTTCCACCGCTCATTGAATAGTCGCAGCCAATGAAAAACAGGCTCCAAACCCGATGTTCTGCTGACACGCCCGAATGAGTTCGGTGATAACGACTGGCCGTCTGTAAGTGGATACCGTTTCACCACCTAGCTCATCCTGTAACAGAAATTTTCAGTACAATCCATTCAACGTCGCACAGGAAGATCTGCTTGCCAGTGCTGACTCCGAAGAGCCTCTAGGGTGTAAGATGTTTCGATTTGTTTTAGTAGTCATTAGAAAAGAAAAAAAAAATTCAATAAAGGTATTAGAAAAAAAAAATTCAATAAAGTCAAAATTAGGACTTAGAGGTTTTTGCTGGACTCTCCTGTGACTAAGTGCTTGGAAATTCGGCTTCCTAAGGTATTCGCTGGTTTTAAATTCAGAGATAAATAATACATCAAAGCTTAAAAAGAAGCACTTCCTGGTTTGCTGTGAGTTTTTTGGAGCTGTGCGTATGGCGCATGGGAAGTTCTATAGATAGTTTCGAAGGATTTTTTTCATCTCAAACCATGTCTCTTTTAACAATCATCGCACACAGTTTTCCCTTTTTTATTTTTTGGACGCCCTGTGTCCCATTCTGATCTCTCATAGCCCTATACCGAACTGGGTACATCACCGTTGTGCAAATCGCAGTGATGGTCGTATTTTGGATACATCTTCGTTGAAGAAAACAGCGGAGGATCGCTTTTGGCCACGAAAAAAATTCAAATGTTGATTTTTCCGCTCTCATACCCTCGATCACTCTTTCTGGTCATTGATCGCGGCTGCGTCTTATTTCGCTGCGAATGCCTGAGGGTTGTTTTCAGGTGCGGACTGGCAGTGATGTGCGCGCCAGTCCTTCTGAACTAAATAATTGTGGAAGCTGGCATCGGCGAGTGATAGGTGGAACGCTAGCTGGCGCCGCGGCGAAACTTGTAACGTCCACAGCTTGCGGAGAGCAAGCGCCTGTAGGTTTCTACCCTCCCTCTTCCTCTACTCCGTCAGCACTTTCAGACAAAGTCGATAACGAAAAGGATGAGGTGGACTGGGTGAACCGTTCACTATACATCTTGAAATTATGTGGTAATTACCAGGTCACATGTCTCGTGGACGTTTCACGAAGATGTGCACGCTTTTCGTGGCACATCCACGAGACGTGCGAGTTGTGCCACAAGAAGCGCGCATGCTCCACAGAACAAGCTATCATAACAAAAAGGGAATGGGGCTATCGTAGGGGTTGCACTGTTGGGTGACCCAGTTACCGTGGAGAGTCACTGGTGAGCTGAGCCACCATGTTTCACATAGCTCCATGGCAACGCTTTACGGAGTAATTGATTTTGTCCTGTACTTGCACGCACTGCTTATATTACTTGTTTTCAAAACATTTAATTCTCCCCTACATCAATGAATTTACAGATCAATCAATACTGATAAAACTTGTTTAGCCTTCACAGTCTGCAAATCTAATCGTGGGTGATCACCCTGATGTCGTAGTTGTTCGACCGTCTGCTGGGATGGTTTTGGATTCTAGCTTGTAGATGAGAATCCGAATTGATTAGGTCGAAACAGTCGTTCCAAAGATTATCTGAATGGCAGCAAATCTTCCCATATCTAAAACTGTACAGAATGCTGCCAATCTGCGCCAAGCGCATGAAGCAGTTGGCTACGTATGCGTTTCCCAACTCGCGCCTAAAATGCTAGTAGGGCGCTGTGTAGTGGGAGAAATGGCGAAAGAACGGAGTGAAACGGTCAAAATCCGGCGAAGAAAAGCCTCCGTTCTCAGTGACTTGAAATCGATTTCGGACGAGTTTCCCGTACGCATCTTACCAATCACCGCTACCGAAGATACGGCTGCATATGTGTACCCATGTATGTGCAGCATCACGGCCGCTTCATACCAATCCCTTTGCTTCATAATTTGCTCAGCAAATGAATGAATACGAGCGTCAGAAACGGTCGTCCGTTTGTGGGCGGGCGGGCGAGGAAGGCGTTTGGGACGGAATGTTGGTTGCTCAGATTATGGAGTTATGGGGCGTACCCTGTTTGGGAAAAGGCGCCACGGAGCGCCTGTCCGAGGTCACGGAATTCTGTTGAGCCAGTCGTATAAATCCTACATCTGTATAGCGATTTATCGTGCCAACTGCCTTTAAGGTCCCACGTGGCTGTATGCAGCCGTCCATAACGGTCATGCTGGTCTGTGTGGTCTCTCTCGCCATTTGTTATATCTCTCCTTTAAACGCTCAGTGTTTCTTCACCTTGCAAAAGTGAAGAAGCTTCTGCTGTTGATCAATCGCTTTCGACTTTCTCCCTCGCAGTTTCGTCCTCTAAGTCTTGCTCGGCACCGCAGAAGTACTCTGCCTCTATTTTTCCAGTAGCTGAAACAGTTAATTTATTTACGGCGACGTATCCCAGCCAGTTTATGGAGAGAATCTGACGTTTTGGAAGAGGTGGAAAGTGGTGTCGAAGTGATCGGAACTTAGAGGGATTGTAGGTAGCACAGGGAAGGGTTCTTATTGGATGAGGAAGTTGGGTGTGGTAAGGTAGTACTGATATTGCTATTTCACAGATCACGATGGTCTAGCTGAGTCAACCCCACTCCAGGAAAGTGCGGTCATGTGTACGGCCCATGTGAACCGCATTATTCGCCTCCTACTATCGTGCAAAGTGCCCTTGTTCGCTTTTTCCAATCTCACTAATCTTTTGATTTATCTAAGATATCGGCCTGAGTTGGTGGGCAAAAAGTCGCGCCCCATGCGGGAGTCGAACCCGCACCTCACGCTTTCCGCGAGTGCGCTATCCGTTACGCCACCAGGGCCGCTTTCACCCTCTCAGCTTAACGGCTTTTATGCCGTAGCCTTACAGCACTCAAAAGTGAAGAAGCTTCTACTGTTGATCAATCACTTTCGACCTCTCCTTCGCAGGTTTCGTCCCTCTATTGGCCGGCGCCGCAGAAGTACTCTGCCGGTGCTGGAGCACGACCTTTGCCCACAACTCAGCATTCTTGTGATAACATTCGGAAAGCGTACTGCGGCGTTGAACAGCAATTATCATAAAGAAAACTATCTTTTGATTTTTACAGATGACCTATCGGTACAACCGGGTCCACGGCAAGCACGTGCAGTGGCATTCGCAGGAGGTAGGATATTATTATTTGTTAATAACTAATTTCAGTAGTATTACGCAAAATCATATTGCAGCTGGAGGAGGGGGCGCGGGGCCCCGAGGAGTTAACATCGGAACCTGAGGAAGGAGGGACTTCCACTCAAGACTTAATGGCTGAGGAGGGACGACCTAATAACCGCAACATCAATTGGTGGTTTTCATGTTGGAGGAAATCGCAGTCTAGGATCAATAATCGATCGTGAAGAGCAAGATTTCCCATCGGGAACTGTTTGCGACAGGGAAAGCAGAGAAAGTCGCATAGGTGAGTTAATCGCATTGCAAAACATCGTTGACAAAAATAATTGAAAGAAATTTAAGAGAAGTTTTGCTGCAATTGTGCCCTATTCGAGACGATGGCAGATGCATTTTATGAACTGAGCAGTTCACCATCGTTCGGCTACACTGCAGCGGGTAGCATCGCTAGCGTGAGTAACACTTGCCGCTCAAATCATGCAAAAAACTATTTCAATTGTCAGTATCTTTTAGTTGACTCAAAAACGAGCGCAAAATCGATTCGATCAATCGTTCGAGGTGTTCGTTTCGCAGGACAATTTTGCAATAGCTTCGTATGGAGTTGGTGATGAGATTTGTAAGTATCGTGAGCGAGGATTCGTCGCTTTGGCCTATGCTACACCTGTCCAGGTGAGGCTCACTCTGTGTATGCCCCTATACTAATTACGTGTTTCAATATGGGGACGCTGTAACGCCAGCGTTGAAGCTCGGCCCCTCCACTTCTCCCCTCCCTTGCTTTCCCCATCCTACGTACCATCTCGCTTTTCTCCTTTTTCCAAGTTTTTAGAAGGAAATTTCCAGTTTTCCCCCCAAGGCAGCCGTATAAGCGAGGTGGAAAGGGGAGGTCGGAAGCTAACAACTACTAAAGTTTGATATAATACATGTGAAACTGGGAATACGATCTCTACCTCCCTCCCTCCCCCTCCCTCAACGAGAGTCTCTCAATGATGCTGGATTAGCCGCGCGCAAACAGCCAATAAAATCAAGCAACTTTCTCAGGTTGACACAACCCCCCACCCCCCACCGGTGATCAAATGCGATGCCACTTTCCGATTTCCTGCTCCGATGTCTAAACCCTTTCCCGAACTGGTTTTGTGAACTTCATCTTGCTGACCGGAACAGTGGAATAAGGTCAGGTAAAGCAAGTAGGCACGATAATATCGACAACGCCGTACATATAGGCTCAATATGCCAAGCCACGAAGAATACTTGCTGCCACTAGCAAAGCGCGCCGCATGAGCGCCATTTATAGTGTCCTACGGAGCGTGCAACATGCCGAGGCAGACGCCGGACCACAAAAACTGCCCCCCCCCACACACACAACACACACACATAAAGGCGCCTGCAGTCACATCGACGCTGCTACTCTTATCGCTTCGTTCATAGTGCGCAAGTGGTATGAAAGCGTTGCTGCATGGGTATGTGAATACACACAGCCCTATATCAAACATCGGTTGTTGGAACGGGTGCCAACGGAGGAGCTCATTCCAAAAATCGCTGCGGCTCCGTGGTCTTGCAGAACAAAGATCCTCTTCACGGCGTTTTTGCCGTTCCTTTAGCTTTTTGCTCCTTTCTCCACGATATACAGACGTCATACTGACTGTTGGCTAGGCGGTCAAAGGGTGCAGACGCAGCCGCGGCGCGTCATTACCGCAGCGATAAGCTGCTTCCAGCCTGCTTTAGCCATTTTATCCCTAATTCTCAATAAATTTTCTATTTTTTTTTCATGGTAGGCTGTGTTATTGTCTTTATGGAGTATATTGCCGACGCTGATCTTTTCCTTGTTTTTGTATTGAAAGCTGTTTTTTGCCGGAATTTGTGTTATTTGAGTGATTGTTTTGTTGAATTGTTCGAAGTGTTCGCAAAATTAGAGATTCTCAATATAATCTTACCTTGTGAGACAAGGAAACAACTCACTTGGGCAGAAAAAGCAGCCCCAAAAAGAGTGGGAAAAGAGGCGAGAAAACGAACTAAATCAGGTCCGGAGCAGTTCTTACATACGCCGGTCCTGGCGCCAGCCGCGTCTGCCAACCCCTCCTTTTTTTTCAACGACCGCCTAATCAACTGCCCGAATGGCGACTGTAGCACCCCTGCTACTATTCGAGCAAGCACTAAATTACTGCTGCCTCTTGCCTTTCAGTTGCTGAACTGCCGTCAACTAACGAGTGCATTTTCAGTACGACATCTCTCGTACTGAAGACGAAGAATACTTCTCGTCGATATCATCACGTGATAATCTTGGAGCTACTGAAACGTCTTTGCCAGGGCAGCGTGCGTTTCACACACCGCTGCAAACAATTGCAGGAGGAGCTCGAGCTGGGCTTACCAGTTAGGATCACATTGCGGGGAATGACGCGGCACGGTAACATACTTTTCGATCCAATGGCATTCGATGGCATTTTGCCACAGAACAGTAGGGTTTACACAGAAAATCCCTCGGGTCTCTGGCGGCCTTGACTAGTCTCGGTTCATCAGAGAATATTTTAATTATGATAGTTTTTCAGGATCAAAATGCTGCAGCCTTCCACTGTTTGAAGTGATGCAGTCCTCATACCTTTCGGTAATCGAGAGGCCCGATTTCGACCCTTACAATACAAGATTTCTAGCTAGGGTAGGTATTCCTATTTAATTTTCTATATCCATTTGCTTACCCGGGTCGACTTACGCTCAGGCCAACCGATCCTTCTATCCTCGGGGAGGCAAATAGGTACACAAGAATTTCCATCTTTGAAGCATAGGAAAACACCCGACTTGAGGTACCAACCAGATCGTCCGGTGCAGCGGTGGGTGGCCTGCGACATCACTTGCGGGCCAAGGAGGAGAGGACGCGTGCCTCTGACGGGTTTAGAATAGGTTATTGGAGCGGAACTAATAATCGATATCACCAGGATCGAGTCTTGTGTTCGGTTACGGTCATTAATCATTTGCTCCAGTCGCAGAGCTGTCGGCTAGCAAATGCACGTGAGTGGGCTGCTGAGTTATTGCTGCCCCGGACGATTCTGTTGCACGTCTTCTCACCGACTTGTACATCGGCTGGCCACCGCAAGTCATTGTATAGGCCACATCGCATTCAATAAGCCACTACGATTCTGAATGGAAGTAGAATGCGTGCCGCATCCCACAAAGGGATTGATCAACGGCAAAGTTTATCCTTTTATTTTTCATCCATTGCTTTCTGCACTGATGAAATTTATATCTTTAGACGATGCAGTACGCTATAGAGGAACGACTCCAGTTGAGTTTTGAAATCGTTGTGTCAACTGACGACTTCGCAATGGCTCACTCCTACTTGGGAGATAATGTATGCAAATTCCGTATAGATCGCTATCACATTCTGGCATACGCCAATCCAGTGCAGGTTTGTATCAGTGGTTTTCCATGCTATAATATGAGCAATTACTGCAAGAGATGGGCCGGCATTAAGGTATTTGGGTAGGGGGGTAAAGGGTGCACCACTCTACATCGCCTATTCCCTAGCCTAAAGCTAATGCCTAGAGCGCAGACGGTTAAAGTCGCTCAGGCTGCATTCATACTTTGCGGCAGCGTCCACCAGCGACCAATAGCGTCCACCAGCGTTCCGAGCGTCTGGCAGCGTCAGCGACTAGGAAAGTATAGATATCGATCTAGCGTCTGCCAGCGTCCTCCAGCGTGTACCTGCGTCCACAGGGGACCAGCAGCATGTGAGAGTGGGAGTATGGGGCGACAGGAGAGTAGCAGACAGCTGGTAGAATATGGGGAGATAGGAGGGTAGCAGATTGCTGGTAGAGAGTATGGCGCGATAGGAGGGTAGCAGACAGCTGGTACCCTTCTATCGCCCCATACTCTCTACCAGCAGTTTGCTGCTGGTCGCTGGCCCACGCTGGTAGGCGCTGGAGGACGCTGGCAGACGCTAGATCGATATCTGTACTTTCCTAGCCGCTGGCGCTGCCGGACGCGCGGAACGCTGGTGGACGCTATTAGTCGTTGGTGGACTCTGCCGCAATGTATGAACGCAGCTTTAGAAACGTTCTGCCCCGCTATACTCGACCTCGGCGACTCTGTCTCCGCTCTAAGCATAATCATTGGCTAGGGAAGAGACGCAGAGACGCTGAGGAGTGCCTCCTCCCTTGTGTGATGTCTTTTGGTTCTCCTAAAGAGAGATGGTATATATAAAACCTTCTGTACGTGAGTCTTCTCTTTAGTATCCAATACACACCAACTTCTACGAAGACAGTGGGCCTGCAGTTCCGCTCGATTGCCCTCTGGAGCTGACAGCTGTAAGTGGTAAGCTGTAGTCATGTACGTTTCAATTTAACAAAACAGAAGCTTTTCCACGGACATGTTCTTATGACTTTTACGAACAGAGCGATTCCCATGTAAAACTTCACTTGTGATGTAGTCTTCAATCCCAGGGTTGTAGCTGAGATGGGCTGAAGTGGTCCCATTCTTCTGATTTCAAGGGAGATTCGGATGAGTAATTACACTTTATTCAGGATACGTGAAATTTTGTTCTCAGGGGCTAACAGGATAACTCTGAACTTGCACATTGAACCGCGCTCTCAGTCAAGATATGTTTTAACCTTCATT